AAATATATATTAGGGAGTGGAAATGGCTAATAAGCCTATAAGTACTTCTCTGCAGCCATCTACTAGTGATAATTTAATGTATTTTTTTTTTATTTTGAAATAAGTGTTTGCTTTCCTGCATCATGAAACTTTTAGTTTTATAAATGGGGGCAACCTATGAAGGATGAACAAATAATGTCATCACATTAAAAAATAACTTTCAAATTCGGCAATACTTAAAGCTTTGAAGTGCTGGGAAAAGTTGTGTGAAGCATTTAAAAACACTCGAAAACATTAGACCATTTCTGCCACAAGCTGTTCCTGTAGTTTTACTATGTTAAATCCACGGTGAATGGTGGTGATTTGTGTTTATTGAACAAGTTTTTCCTGGTTTCCACATCAGTGATGTTTGTTCTGGTATCTGTAGCTTTGGCAGAATTCTGCGCTGAATTTGAATGCTTCTCACAAGATTTAACAGAGATGTTATTGATTCTGCGGTGAATTCGACTGCATTGTTCACTGTATCTCCCAGCGCTGTGTATAACGGAGTTGAGATTGAGATCAGCCCGCGGCTCCGGCCCGAGCAGATAAACGGTCTGTGCTGCGTAGTTCCGCTTTCGGTTGGTTTGTCCAATGTAGCTCTTGTAAATCGGTCACGATGAGAACGCAAGGCTGTTCATTCCATTTTTGGAATTACTAATTGGTTACTATTCATTTATACAAAACTATTATATTATATAAACTTTTATATATTAATATAAATAACAACAGAGTTTATGTTTGTGATCTAAATAAATAAATAAACAAATAAATAATTTGAATATAATTTGAAAAACACATTCTCAACAATTCAATGTTTATTTGCATGAGCTGTTTTCATAAAGTTTGCATGTGTTGGAGATTGATGAACATTCAAATATAAAAACATAAATATAGCACATAATAGTAAACTGACAAACTTAGTCACACAAATATGACACTTTTTGAAAACACCAATGTGTACAAACAGAATTGTGTTTCGAAATGGTCCAGTAAGTTAAAGATAAACACCCTGGTTACAATGAGGTGTGAACACTGACAATAAAGGTGAGATGAAGACAGCTGATGCTTTGCATGCAGTTAAAGAGAATATTAAAGCTCAGGAAAACTCATAAAAGCATGAGAGAAGAGAAGAAGAGGAGAAGTTCACTCAGGTTTGTGTTGTTTTTCATTTGCAACTCATTTTAACTCTCCTGTTGTGTTCAAAAACTGGGTTAGACTTCTGTGTTTGAGGTCAGTCGGCATTGGTTTCCGTTCGATTTTGACTGAATGCGCATTGCGATGACGTCACGGGACGCGTCTAAACCCAAAATCTGCTGGAATTTCGAAAATTTGCGAGCTCTTGCAGAAATTGCGGAGTTTGCTTGATTTTGCAATAAATTCAGAAATCGCAGAGTCACAAAACCCTGGAGGGACTGACCAGAGCTTCCAGTCTGGAGGAGAGCCTTGGGAAGCAACATTGCATTAAAAAGAAACAATGTAACATAATTTGTTTCTATTCTTAGAATGAGCCACACAATAATGTAACATTCTACTTTACGATGTAACATTCCCGAGTACAGACTTTGACCAACTTCCATCACTGAATGAGTCAGCAGTATTTTGCATGATGTGAGAATCAGGTGCTGAACCTCTCGTCATCATACAAATGCGTTCTGTACGTGAAAATGAGGCTGAAAATAATCCTAAACCTAATAAACAAGTCTTCATATCCACTTATGCTTCAGTCTGTGTTTAGACTAAGAAAAATATTTTATTTGTAAAGTAAAATAAAATATAATTGAATTAAAATAATAAATGTAATCAAAATATATAAATAATTCATTGTAATATATATATATATATATATATATTATTATTTTATTAAGACAGATGAGGTGTGCACACTAGTTTACTAATTGGTTACTATTCATTTATACAAAACTATTATATTATATAAACTTTTATATATTAATATAAATAACAACAGAGTTTATGTTTGTGATCTAAATAAATAAATAAACAAATAAATAATTTGAATATAATTTGAAAAACACATTCTCAACAATTCAATGTTTATTTGCATGAGCTGTTTTCATAAAGTTTGCATGTGTTGGAGATTGATGAACATTCAAATATAAAAACATAAATATAGCACATAATAGTAAACTGACAAACTTAGTCACACAAATATGACACTTTTTGAAAACACCAATGTGTACAAACAGAATTGTGTTTCGAAATGGTCCAGTAAGTTAAAGATAAACACCCTGGTTACAATGAGGTGTGAACACTGACAATAAAGGTGAGATGAAGACAGCTGATGCTTTGCATGCAGTTAAAGAGAATATTAAAGCTCAGGAAAACTCATAAAAGCATGAGAGAAGAGAAGAAGAGGAGAAGTTCACTCAGGTTTGTGTTGTTTTTCATTTGCAACTCATTTTAACTCTCCTGTTGTGTTCAAAAACTGGGTTAGACTTCTGTGTTTGAGGTCAGTCGGCATTGGTTTCCGTTCGATTAGCCAAAAAATGGCATATGAACACTAAAGATTCAGGTAAAAACAGAAAACCTCTATTGTAGCTTGTCAGATCGAGAGTACAGAATAAAAATTGTGACAAAAAGGAAAAAAAAATCTGAAAATCTAATTAGATAAAGAAACAGTGAATATTCTTTAGATGATTCAGAAGACAAATCTCAATTTGAAGGAAACTTTGAGTCTTACGTTTCTAAAGTTTTTATGCATTTCATATTTTAGTGCTCGACAAGCTAGAATAAAGGACTTCCATTTTTATCTGCATTTGCAACACTGTAGTGTTGTTCAAAGTGTTGATTTTTGTCAAATTGCATGAAAACCAATCAAAGGGTCAAAGGGGGAATCTGTAGGACCCCAAAACAAAAATTTTTTGTAAAGCCTTTCCAAAACACAACTATGTGTTGAAACTTTGCATGCACATTCATGACCCTAAATAAGAATTATTCACCAAATTTTAAGAAGAAATAAATAGTTGAACCAGTATTTTGAGCAGTTTGAAAAATGCAAGTCAAATTGACCTGCAACACAACAAGAGGGTTTTAAAAACAGTCAAAAATGTTATCAATAATAAATAATGCATTTATGGTCATATTAAGAAACCGTAACCTCGTTGCAGAATCCTGGTGCATGCAAGATAATGGAGCACAAACTATTTACACTCCTCATTTTAATCGGTATGTTCCCTTCAGTGCATGTGTTTACTGTATTTGTCCGTTATTTGACAGAGAGAGTATGTTTTATGCTTTATTGACTACTAATGGGTGTCTTTTTCTAGGTTTTTCCACCTCACCGGTTCTTCAGCAGTCTATGAACATGTACTACTTTGTGTCAGAGTTAAAATCATTCGCCGAAGCCCAGCTGTACTGCAGAGCGACGTACACGGATCTGGCGACTATTGAAAACACGGATGATCTGGACACGCTTCGGACCGATCAGGTCACATACATGGATGCGTGGATCGGCCTGATGGAAACCGGTCATTTTTACTGGCACTGGGCTCTGGCAGACAGACACTTTTATAAAGACGGAGAGATAAAATACAGAAACTGGGCAGCATTCTAGCCAGACGATGGATTGAATCAAGACTGTGTCATTGTGACTTACAAAGGACAGTTTCAAAACACCAACTGCCTCGATCTCTTCAACTTCATTTGTTATGATGGTGAGTAACAGTGGGTGATACGGAAAAATAACATCATGAATTTTTCAGCCTGAATCACGATCCACGATCTTATCACAATGTTGTTTTTAAGACATAATAATAGCCAACATAAGTATAGCCAAAATAATGTCCTTATTTAAAAAATATAGCCTTACAACAGCTTGTTTACCAAATTTTTAAATATTTTTTAAATTGAAATAATGCTGAAATAAAAAAAGACATTTATTGGATGAAAATAAATAATAAAGAGCTTAAATGTAAATTAGTAAAAAAAAAAAACACTATTAAAGCTATATAGATTTTTTCAGACTAAAATTAAAATGAAAACTGTCAATATAAAAATAAATCCTAATTCAAATATTCATAAAAACCATAACAAACTACACTAAAAATGGCATTACTTAAAATTAACTAACTGAAAAATATTTAAAAAAAAAAACTTCTTTCATTAAGACATCATTTATGATTTTTGTTTAAAGTTGCAGTATAAAAATACACTAAATAAACTAAAAACTAAAACTTAACTACATAGACTCATAAAAACATTTACAAAAGCAGACAAATTACTTAAATTTGAATTTAAACATATCCAAAATATTAACAAAACTAAAAAAATATATATCGATACGACTAAAATCAGCCTGATTTAAATAATGGTTTTTAGTATTTTTTACATTTATTTTTTAATGAGCTTTTTTATTTTTTTTATTTTAATGTTAGTTAAAGCTTTAGTAACTTTGCGTGTGTTTTTTTTTTTTTTTTTTTGGAATATGAATCAATATTGTTTAATAATAATCAATATTGTTTAACAATAATCAATATTGTTAACTAGCAGAACCAAAATTAAGTTTTTATATTTTATTTCAGTTTAAGGTATTTTATAACGTAACATTTTTTATGGTTTTAGTTTAGTTAACTATAACAACCCTGGTACGTGTTACAGTGTTTGCTGACTTGCATCTTTTGCTCCTATAGCGAACAGTACTGAGCAGCGATACATCTACATCAGCTTTCTCTACACATGGAGAGAAGCCCAGCGTCACTGCAGACTATATTACACCGATCTGGTCAGCGTGAGGAACCTGGATGAGAACAACCAGATTATGGGTCTGATTCCCACGCTGGGATTCGCATACATCGGCCTGTTCAAAGACGACTTCGCCTGGTCCGACGACAGCACGTCATCCTTCAGAAACTGGGATTTGCTTCAGCCAGATTTTCTTGGAGAATGTGTTGCATTGACAGACAACAAATTTTGGAAAACGGAGCTCTGCGGAAAACTGAAACCATTTTTCTGTTATCGGAGTGAGTGTTTGTCATTTACAAACACAATGTGTACTGAGCTGACACTAATTATTATTAGTAGTAGTTGTATTATGTACAATGTCTTAAATGTTAAGTGTCTTGATTTAAGCGATGATCATGATCAGTAATTGCTAGTGAATTTCACAATAACAAAAAACATAATTACAAAGAAACAGAAGTAAAATTTTGTAGTAAAAAGATAAATAGTAATATCTTGTACATAATCTTTGTTTACAACTTCAAATAATCTTTTTTTTTTTCCCAAATGTATCTCAGTTTTGAACATTTTCAGTCAATACTATAGGCTGTAATGTTTTGTTCAGGTGTAGGTGGTATGAAGAGACAGATCCTGAGACTGGAGGTGAAATCTGCTCTGAATGTCAATGATCTGGATATGCAGATGGCCATCTTAGCGGAGGTGAGTCGCTTTAGTTCCCTCGTAACACAAAGCAGCTTAATTATGCCTAATTATGCAGACTTTTGAATGTGTATCAAACCAGGTGTGTTTTGGTCGTCAGATCCAGCAGGGCCTTCAGAAACTGGGAGTGACGAACGTCACCAAGCTGGAATGGAGAGCAGCAGCAAACGGGATGGTTTTTCAGAAGAAAGAGAGTAAAATGAACGTAGAGCAGAAGAGATGCGCTCCTGTGGTAATGATTCACTGATACTCATGAATACTGGTGCTCATCACACCTGCACGATACCTACATAAGAATAACCCTAACCCTCACAGGCATTCACACTACAGACAGAAAATGAACAAATAACCTAAAAAAAAAAACGCTCCTCCTCAACACATGTACTTACTATTAAACCACTACTAAACCATCTGAAACGATACTCACCTAATACTAAAAATGACTTCATGAGTCTATAATGTGTTTTGATTCCTGATGTTTTAGTGCTCAGATATACTGCAGTGAACCGTATGTGGTTAACAACTGAAATAAACTAACATGCCGTGGTCATAATTTTAATCACTGAGTACCAGAAAGTAAATATCAAATATGGCATTGGTGCATCCCTATTTTGTTATATTTATATGTGAATGTTTAGAGAAAAAAAAGAAAGAATATGAAATTATATTATAATGCTTATGATATTTAAAATAAATATAGTGTTGTATTATCATTTGTGGTTATGGTTGCTTTTTGTAATAAAGTACATATGTCATGTTCTTGTGTTCAGATTAGTGTTATTTTACCATCATAGATATAATATAGTTTGTACAATATTTTTGTTAATTTTTTTTTTCTGCTTTCACATTAATTTTAGTTAAAGTTCTAGTAATTTTGTTGTGTGTTTGTCATTTTTATTATGTTTTTAAACATGTATAAACAGTTTGGTTTATTTAGTATATCAGTTATGTATTTTAGTACTTCTAGTTAAATTAAACAAAAAATGACAAATATGGCTTTGGCAGCTAGCAGAATTTTATATTTTATTTTATTCCACTTAACAATTATGCAATAATTTAAAACTGCAATAATAATTTTGAGGTAAAAAAAAATATAGTATATATATTTAAAAATAATTATGCTCTCAATATGAAACAGACATCAAATGCTGTGCCTCACCTGATGCTGTCTATATACTGTATTTCTCTTTAGACTGGGGGGTAATTCACAGATTTACTTGAATTTACTACACAATTAAAATACTATATAATTTGATTTAATAATATTATGTTTATGGACTAAATATGTGTTCCTGATGATGAGAAAAAAAATCAATTTTTTTCAAAAACATTTTTTTGCAACTAATCCACACTCTGTAAAACATGTTCTTCAATTAAACAAAAACCAGGTGAGACTTTTATCCATGAAGAACTGATGGTGAAAACTTGCTTAGAGATCTATTTTATACTCAGAATAATGCCAGTTTTTAGCTCATCTTCTGCAGAAGAGGTTTGATGAGTCCTCTAGAGGGCGTCGTGTCTGATCTTTTGCTGCTTGAACTCGACTATGTAAAGCAGTTCTCAGTCCTGCCCCTGAAGATCTTCATCAGCTGGTTCAGATGTATTTGAATATGATTGGAGCTCAAGCTTTCAGGAAAGCAGATCTTCAGGAGCAGGACTGAAGAAACATCATCTGATCATTCTCCTGCTGCCTTCAGCTTCCATCATGCTGTTCAGGCAACAGACTTCATTCATGGAAAATAACTGTAAGCTGGGATTCGAATATGGCATTATGCAACTACGGCACACTGTATGGAAAACTGTGGCATCCCATAATGCAATGAACTCAACCTGACCTTCCATTTTTAGTGAGAAGGACTGTGTAAACCACAAGTAATTTCAATCGTTTCTTGGTCTCCTTACAGTATCTCACTATTTTATCAGACTTTCAAATGCCAAAAATCACCACATTTATTTCTGAGAAGGTAACTACACGAGACACGTTGAATTAAAGGGATAGTTCAACCAAAAATTAAAACTTGTTTTTACTTTGCTCATCCTCAGGCCATCCAAGATGTGTGTGTGTGTGTGTGTGTGTGATGTGTGTACCTGTTTTTCTATTCTGGTGTGGACTTAAACCTGAATACACACAGACTCATGGGGACTCGTGTCACGGTGGGGACTTAAATTGAGGTCCCCACGGTTAAACAAGCTAATAAATCCCACAGAATTAAGTTTTTTGAAAATCTAAAAATGCAGAAAGTTTCCTGTAAGGGGTAGGTTTAGGGGTAGGGTTGGTGTAGGGCAATAGAATATACGGTCTGTACAGTAGAAAAAGCATTACGTCTATGGAGAGTCCCCACAAGGATAGCAAACCAGACATGTGTGTGTGTGTGTGAGTGTGTGTCTGTGTGTCTGTGTCTAGGTGAGTTTTTTCTTAAGTAAAACAATAAAGAGAATGTTTAGCTGAAACCGTGGTCTATGGTGACTCATAAAATGCAAGTCAGTGGCTGCTAGTTTTGAGAATAAAAAAAATATATATCAATGAACTAGGGATGCTCTGGTCAGGATTTTTGCAGCCGATACCGATTACAGATTTCTTGTCATCATGACCGGCCAATACAAATCCTGATTTCAATCATTCAAGCTTTATATACGCGATATGTAAGTTTTCTGTAGACTGTCACGAATAACCGTATTAACCAACGATTGTTGTTTTAATTAGGGCTGCACGATTAATCAAATGTGATTGTCATGCGTATCTTTCTGTGAGGCACGGTTCTGTGATCAGTAGTAAATCTCCATTCGAAGGCCAGAAGGCGCTCTCGCGCTGAAACTCCAAATATACCCAGCAGAAGAAAGGCAATGCACATCCGGAAACTAACAATGAAGCCATAGTTCCCTGACAAGCTACGCAAAACCGCTTTCATAATTGCAGACCGATTTATTCACGTGATTATGAAAGCAGTTTGAGTAGCTTGTCAATGAACTACGGCTCTGTGTAGTAAATGCTGCTCCATCTGAACCTGTTTCTGTATACCATCAAGCCTTTACCCGGCGAGTTTGAGTCGTTTATAACATGTATTTGAAAAAGCAACATGTGTCAAACATCTTTCCAAACATGAGAAGCATTTTTAAAACCTCTTGTCCCACAAAATACCACAGTTAATAACATGATTTTATTCCAAACTCACTTAGCATTGCATTATAAATATACTTTATTATAATGGAAATTATTAAAAAATAAGCTGATATTCACTTCATAGAGATTGTTACGTGCACATGTATTTGGAGGAATACGGGATGTTGTGTGTCTGTGTGGCTGTTTGTTTTGTGTATCTGTTCCAGATCCTATTGGACCCTTCATCTGTCAATCCTCCTTACAAGATGATGTCGTCGGTTCACTCCGCCTATCAGTTCACATCTACCGCTTTTAATAACCCGTATCTGGCCCATGCCCCCAGCTTTATGCTCGATTAGCTTGCTCGTTTTCGCTCGAGCTCGATAAATTTTTTGTTCAGCCTGTGTGTTAAACCTGTTGCACTGTGTTTTGTATTGTATTGCTAGTGTTCAGTTGAATACTGTATTGTGTGTTGATACCTGTTGAGAGAGAGAGTTCTGCGTAAGTCTTGTGTTTGTATAGTCGCGTTTACTGTTCTGTCGCTATCAGTCATCACGCTGTTTGTGAGGCTGGGAAGGTGTGGGTAGGTAAGTAGGATGCGCGACATACATTTTTGCATCACGTAGGACTCTTTGTTGTATTAGACACACTAGGTAAGGAGAGAGTGCCAGCCCCTCTGTACGTTTTTTGCATCGTTGATTATAGTAGATAGAGTAGGTTAGTTAGGGCCCACACAATTCACAATTCACAAAAAACAAACCTGTGTGTGTGTGTGTGTGTGTGTGTGTGTGTGTGTGTGTGTGTGTGTGTGTGTAGGTTGTGTGTGTGTGTGTGTGTGTGTGTGTGTAGCTGCCTGAGCCCCACCTCCGCCTCACACACAGAGAGCAGATGAGATGACAAAGGCAGCCAATCAGGTTCATACTCGTAGTTTTAAATCTTTAGCCAACATCCCTCCACATGGTGTGTCTTATTTTATTGTTTCAGAAATTGTATTAATTCTATACAGATAATAATTATCTATGTTGGTGAGACATAACTGCGCCGCTAAAGTTTGATGGCATCACATGTTTTACATCATCACATTGCAATCGGTTTGTGAGATCAGCCAAATTTGGTCACTACCGATGAAGTCATAAAATTGTTCAAAAAATAATCGGCCGATATCTGCGGCCAAATTGATCGGAGCATCCCTACAAGGAACTAAAAAAAATAATACCTGACTCCTGACGATATATTGAGGTCTTACGAAGCGAAACGATCGGTCTGTGCAACAAACTGAACATTATTTACAACATTATTACCTGTAATCCAGAACCTGGGACTGGTTAATTTGGACAGTTTGTATTAATGAAATGATTCACTAGTTTTTTTTACATAATCACACAATGACATAATGTATACACAGTTATATTTAAGCAGCCAATAATGATATGAAATGTGGATGTTTTACAGTCTAAAGCATTTATAGTGAATAAACTATTCTTCATCAGCTCACCTGTCTAACAAACAATTAGCAACAATAAAAACATTAATTTCTCCCCTTCATTCAAGCTCTCGGTTCATGTATTCACGTAGGCTCATCGGTCTTCAGTCCAAGTCGAACTGTTTCCTCAGTTCAGTGACTGTTGGAGGAGCTGGAGTGCTGAATCAGTTCATTCATCACAGGATCAGATACACCGTTATTTTGGCTTATTTTCAGTCGCAGTGACTGTTAGGCTTCTGGAAGTGAGTTTTGATTGAGTAACTTGTAGACCTGTGCTCCTCAAGCCGTGAACTGTTTCAGATGCTTCAGTCCAATTAGGTGAACTGGTTTAACTGGTTCGTGAACCGGACATCACTGCGGACCATTTGACTTAGGCTCTGGATTACAGGAAATAATGTTGTAAATAATGCTCAGATTCTTCTATATACCAATTGTTTTGCTTCATAAAACCTCAATATATTGCCACGGGGATTCATTTTGTGTTCCCTGATATGCTTTTTTTTTTTTTTTTCTCTCAGACAGAAAGTCATTGACTTACATTTTATGAATCACCAAGGAGCATGTTTTCAGCTAAAAATCTTCTTTACTGTTCTACTGAAGAAAAATAGTCACCTACATCGTGGATAGCCTGATAATGAGTAAATTAACAGCAATTTTTCATTTTTGGGTGAACTATCCCTTTAATGCATTAGCTAAAATTAAACTAACAATAAACAATGTTTTTTTTTCTTACAGTGTTTATTAATCTTTGTTAAAACATGTTCACAGTGCATTAACT